CTCATGACATGAAATAAGAGATGAATAGTCAAACACATTTCATACATTATTTATACCATAACATGATATTAACAAATAGTTAATTATCAACACAATAACTCATAATTATCACTATCAAACACAATCACTCATTCATAATGCATCAATCACAAATCTCCATTTACAAATTAGTCACATGCGAATATCAAATGCAATGGACACAGACTCTTGATTTACATGCATGTGGTACTAATCTCAAGATATGTATAATGCATATTAAACGATTTATCGATTTGTGTGAATATGATGCATGTCGCATAGACTTTCTATCATATCATGAGTCACTACACACACACAACAATTTGCCACACGTATAATTTGTCATATATACAATTTACCATACACACGATTTATCATATATACAATTTGTCATACAAGAGTCAAGTATCTCATTCAATCAATTCATAAAAACATCCATTTTTATTTCATATTCATTAACATTCAAATCACTCAACAAAACCTCTTCAACTTGAGTATAGGAACAAGCTTATACATGGGCAACGTCCAATGAAAGTCAATCCACATCTGACGCAACTCGTCCAAAGAGCACTCATAGCTCTTAGAATGACTCATGTCCAACATGACCCATGTCATGCCCAACGAGATAGTATCAAGGACTTCCTTGGAGCCCTTATGCCTGATAAGCCCCAACCCATGTTTGGTGTGAGTGTCATAGAGACTTGCGACCTTTATAGCACCCAACAAGGCATATTTCATGTCTAGTGCAAACAAAACATAGAGTGAACTCTACTCTTGAGCATCACAGCTCCCGACAAGACACAAATGGCACCCAACGCTATATTAGAAACCCCAGACTTGCAAAATTGCAAAACATGTGATTTACAAGCCAAAACTTACACAGAACGATTCAATCGGTAAAATATCCTAAAACCCTCATACAATGCACTCATAAGACACAAATTTCTGTAACAAGTCCCACATCGGGGAGGTCTCCTTACCAAGGAGGCTTTATAAGGCGGGAGGTTCTCTAACCTCTTGGGCCGGCTTTTGAGGAATGGTTCCCCTCCTTTCAAATTATTCAATGCAGATTGGATCAATTATAAATTGATTCGAATTAATTTGAATTTTTTCACACCCCTAATATTTACTAACGTCAGATACTCTAAATTCGATACTTTTCCTCTAGTCAGTGAGTAATATAACGCTATTTTGGTCATGCTATAAGAGAAAAGGATATATAGAATAATTCTAGTGAGATATCATTGTTTGTGTAGATGTTATTAATTTTTACATTATATTTCAGTTAGCTTCATATTACTCTTAAGATGCAATATATGATGCATAAAAGTTATCACTTTTCAAGATTTTATATCTGTTTGGTGGTATGCACTCATATTGAAAACGATTTTTTGTTAATAATTAATTTTAAAAAATTGTCGTTAAGAAATTTTTAAAATAATATATTAAGTTTCGTGTTCTTTTATAATTAAACTTGTTTATTATTAATTTTTCATTCAATATCATTAAAGTAATAATTAATGAGATCATGTTAAAACTTTAGATACTTATACAAGATAATCACACCGACTGCTGCAAAAAAAAAAATCTAAATGACATATTGCTTCAAATAATGAATTTAATTAAAATAGAGTAAATTATATTCTTTCCTCAAGATAAATATGAATATTATTCTCATTTTTATATTAAAAATTACAATTTTTTTCATCGACAAATTTTAATATATAATAATTTATTTATTTTTAAATTTTTCGTCAAAGTTTTATTATTACACTTTTCTCTCTTTTGTGTTAAAATAAACATTTTTTTTGTTAATTAATTTAAATATGTTATATTTTAATAATTTTTTTTATTTACATATTTAATTATTATTTTAAAATTACTATTAATTTTGCAAAATTAATTATATATCTTAAAAAATATTTTTCATTATTGTTTTCACTAAATATTTTTAAAATTATATATCAAAATAAAAATAATTTATATATATAAGTATAATAAAATTA